AAATATAAATTCATTGCAAAAAATATATATATAAATTTACTACCTAAAAAGTTATCGCACATATAATAGGAAAGCGTGTCCAATTAAAAATTGTTCAGTTTGAAAATATATAACAAGTTGTCACACATTCAATTAAAAATAGTTCGGCTTGAAAAAATTAGCCTGAAGTAATGTCTAATCACTAATGTTTTATATTTTATATCTACTATATATAATCTCTCTCATAAAATTAGTGTGATGTAATATTTAATGTTTTGTATTATTTATACATATTTTTGTAGATATACACCAATTCATTTGTCCAACTGTTGTATAAATTATCATATTATAATTAGGTCCATCTTAGACTTCCATTTAAGGTCCAGCGGCACCAATTCCTTCTGATTTTGGGGTTCCATTTAACAGTCATGGTCAGTCTTTTTATATAAAAAAAATATAGATATTAGTAAATATTATATAGCTAATCAAGTATAATCGATATTAAACTAACAGCTCATTGTCTGACTGCCTAAGTAAATTATCATATTATAAAAAAATCCATCTTACGATTTCATTTAAGTTCTAGAGCACCAGTTACTTCTAATCTTAGGGTTTCATTTAAGATCAGGGTCAATCTTTATGTGTGTTGGCGTATTATTAAAGAAATCGGTTCTTAGCAACGATCGATTATATGTTGTTGTTTTTACATGTAAGTAATAGATAAGAGATGTGCATTGGCATGTTTTTAAAAAAATCTTTTTTGATCACGACCAAATGTTGTTACGCGTGTAAGTAATAGGTCAAGAAGAGTCAATGTCAACATTTATTGTACGTTGGCATGTTAAGTAATAGATCAAGAAGAGTCATGGTCAACATTTATTGTATGTTGGCATGTTCTTAAAGAAAATAATTTTTAGTCACGAACAATTATGTTGTTCGTTTCGCGTGTAAATAATAGAAAAGTGTTGAAAATATTAGTCTGTGGGGACGACGAGTTGCTCAGTTATTGAACAAATAATATTGTGTACTAGAAAGTTTAAATAATATATTTTTTTGCATGAGGAATATTTTATGGTTTGATAATTGGATCATGCTACATGTACCTCTTGGTTTACCACTTGGTTTACATCCAAGGGGTACATGTACCCATTTACCCTTAATGAATAATTTAGTAAATAATTCATTAAGGGTAAATGGGTACTTGTATCCCTTGGATGTAAACCAAGTGGTATACCAAGGGGTACAAGTAGCATTATTCTTGATAATTTTCCTACAAATTATCACTCTTTTATTTATTAATATATTTTAATTTTTAATATTCTTCGAAGTAAATACAGCCCGTGCATCGCACGGGTTACATACTAGTTTATCATTAATATTTTTTACTTCTCACATTAATACATCCTATTAAGTGTAATCATGTATTTTTTTCTATTATATTATATAATAGTTATTGCTAATACCAACTAATAATAATTCACAATAAATATCAATTACCTAATTATAAACAATTATTTCAAGTTATTTATATTAACATCAATATTATCTTTTTCTTTTGTATCTCATGAAAAAATTTCTTTAAAATTAATTAGTATTTATTTTAATAGCATAGTCAAACAACTTTAAAATCTTATAAACAACTAGTTTTTTACCCGTGCATTTGCACGGGAAGCTATATGATAAAGGAAATAATAA